TGGTAAAAGCAAAGGAGGCAAGTGATAGTGGAAACATGCAATAATTATTTAGTCTCCTCTTACCTTCTCCATCAAATGCCTCAATTATGCTCATTTTGCTTTCTCTCTTGGTCCCCACACCTATGGATCCTCTTATTTTGTGGCGTAGTTACATGAATCATCCTTGCCTTTTTTGAATTGATTAGCCACGCGTAGCTTCAAAATTAAATTTACACATGCCTAGATATTCACTATAAAAATACTAAAACATCGAAAGAATTTCTCACTCGATTTTTTTTTTTTTTTTGTGGATTCAGATTTTACATATATATGGGAGCACTTTTTGTTGGGAGTGGGGAGTGACACTTGGAAATGGGGAGAGAGGACATATGACAAGAGTGGCAAGATGACCCCATATCTTAACTTAAAATTTTAATACTCAAGTTTATTAATCATACTCCACCATGTTTCTTATATTAAGGATTAAAAAATTTTTTTAAAAGACACCCTATAATAGGAATTAAAGAGAGTATATTAATTATTAAATTAGCTTTTCATTTGTTAGAAATAGGGAGCCCGTTGCCTAGAAATAGGAGGAGGGGACAAATGGATAAAAATGATGAAAAGACATCACATCTTAATGTACAATTTTAATGCTCAAGTTTATATGTCCTTTTTTTTATTATATATTATTAGTTAATAAATTTAATTTTATCCAACGTGATACTTCTTATATTTTTTTTTTAAGTTTATTCACACTTATTCTAACATTTTTCCATGAATAATATTTCACCAGAAACTTTCTCATTAATTTATAATTAGGTAATATTTGGATTGATTTATTTAAAATTGAATTAAAGATTTAAGATTTTATATTTAAAATCTCACATTTAAAATTTATATATTTAAAATTATTTATTTAAATAGTGTAAAAAATTTCAAAAGAAGAAGATAGATGAGTTAAAATTTAAAACAAAATATGAAAAAAGAGACGGAAGTAATATTAGACGCACCTATAGCATAAAGAAGTCATACCAAATTCAAATTCATATACTTTTGTATACACAAATATAAGATTTGATTTAAATTAAATTCAAATTCAAACCTTTAAACACAACAACATAAAATTTTCTAGCATGCTTCTAAATCTATGAGAAACTTTCCCACGAGTTGAATGACATATGGAGTTTTTCTTGCAACGTTATTCCATGATTCGTGATTTTCTTACAATGCAATTGTGCAAGAAAAATCACTGTTCTACAATGAATCTTGCACTCAATATTTTTGCGAGAAATTCGTGAGACAAGCTTTTTTCTCTCTCTCTCTCTTCCTCGTAGATCTTGTCGGTGAGAAATTGAGTGTTTTAGGCTTTTAGCGGAGAGATTGCAACTTAGCAAATTGTACATCGACATTCTCCCACAGCCAAGTGGTGCCTGGTGGATTGGCGGCCGAAATTTAGTTGTTCAATTAATTTAAACAATTTATATTTTGTTTTAATAATTCACTTGGAAAATAAATATAAACTATAAAACTTATTTGATGGACAGAATTAATTCATTATAAATCTTCCTTTTTTTTGGTTAAAAATTAAGATAATGCTTGATTGATGAATTTGAATTTGAATTTTTAATTTGAAATCTTATATTTAAAATCTTTTGTTAAGGTAGTATAAAAATTTTAAAAGCAAAAGAAAGTCAAGCTGAAATTCAAAGTAGAAACAGAAGAGTGAAAATAATGAGCTTATATCTATTTCTCAATCAATAAAAGCTGATAAGAATTTAGTTTAAATTTAAATTTAAATTTCAATTCTCATGGCTTGAGTCCATTTTGACTAAGGTGAAAAATAAAAATTTAAAAAAAAATAACAACTTGGCAATGGTTGAGGGGCACCAACCTCCTCTTTTTGGTATGTGTCCATCCAACGGTCTCACATGATAACTTCCTTACATGTGCAAATTTGGCTTTATTAATTAACTTTTGATAAAAGTGTGTGTTTCTTTTATCAAACACTTGTCATATACTCTACACTAACCTTCAAGTTACTTGACCTTCATGGCTTTGCCTACCCCATAATTGCAAATAATCCACAATTGGAGGAGGATCATCCACTAGGATCCTCACAAGTCACAATTGATGTTTATTATAGAAAAGGAACTTATGATTTTTAGAGTGCATTGCAAAGATAAAGTAGAGAGCGATGGAGAGAGTGAGTGACAGGAAATGAGATGAAATAATGCTACTATAGACGGTTCTTATTATGTGAACTTGCTTTCTTCTTTTAAAAACATAAGACTTTTTTTTTTAAGATTAGATGTTAAAAAATATAAAGTATTTTTAATTTTTAATATGTAATTGATGATTTTTTTAAAAAAATATTTTTAATAATAAACTATTCAATCTTTCACTTTTAAATGAGACACCCTATTAAATAAAGATAAATATAAAAAGATGATATTAATTTAAAAATAATTAACTAATTTGGAGTTTAAATTAGTTAAAAATGCCTTATATTTTTTTTTTTGTAAAAAAGTATTAACAATGTCATTCAAAATAAAAAATTTAAAACTAACAAAAATTAGTTAATGCTTTTAAATTTATAAAATTAATTACTCTCAATAAAATTCATTAATTAAAATGCATTTTTTAATTAAAAAAAGGCGTTGTTTAGATGATTAGGATGCTCTTCAAATTAGCTAAATAATAATATCTTGGATAAAAGTTTCTTAATGTATATTTAGAAAATATAACTATCGGTCCTTATACTTTTAGCATATTTTGATATTAGTCTATATATTTTTTTTTTGTTACTTCATGTCTCTTGAGTTTCATATGCTCATAAATTATTCATCTGGTTCTATTTATAAGTTACTTTTAACATATTTCATCAGAATCAAGAAAATCCTAATCTCATTAATTTTGTTTTTAAATTTAAAAAGCTTCCACCTTTATCCCTAATAAATATTCTTAAATCTCATTACTAGTATTTTTATTCAAAGCATTTAATAAGGGCAAATATGTAAAGAGGGGTATTGAGAATTGACAAATACCCTATAAATATGACTAATTTTTTTTTCTCTTTTTGCTCTATAAATAGGACCGGAAGAGTAGTCTTTATCATCATGGTAATGATAAATTTGTGATGTGTACATAATTCTATTTAATTTTATTGTCAAGTTAGTAAAATTATGATGAAATGGATATTGTATGAGTAAAATTGTTACTAATCTTTTTACCTGTCTACCCTAGCTGTGTATTTTCTTTCCTCTGAAGCTTTATTTATTGTGTGTTTAAGGACTTTGATTTAATATTTGGGGATTTAATGTTCAGCTTTTTTTTTTTAATCTTCTATTCATTTTCCATGCAACTCATCATAATTTTAATAAGTCATCACAAGAAGTAACATAATTTATGCATAGGTTAGCCATAAGTAAGTCCTTATGATCATATTCAAAAGTATAAAGACAAACATTATAGATAAATGAAATTTAAAGGACTTGAAACGATGAAAACAAATTATAAGGACTAATATCAAAACACGCTAAAAATATAAGAACTATTATATTTTCCCTATATATATTATCGACTAGAGGGACTTCCAAAAAAAAAATTCAGAAAATCCAAGTTTTGGAAGATTATACAGTTTGCAGTTGTTGTGGATGCAGCATTTGAATGTGTATCCAGAAAATATTGTATACATCACCAACAAAGAGGCAATACACTTTATAAGAAATCTAAGCTTAAACAATTTTGGAAGAAAATTCACAAAACTCAGGAACGAACTCAAACCTATTTGTTTTCTGTAGTAACAGCTAAACAGAGAAGCTGGACCACTATTTTTCGGACCAATAACAAAGAGGTAGGACACAAATCTGTGGCTGTATTTTCAGTTTCTTACTAAGTGCAATTTGATGAGCTTCTTGGGATAACGCGTAAACATTGAAGTTGACGTAGATATGGAACATCAAAACATGACAACATAATACGACAAGATATACAATTTCAACATAATTTGGAGTGTCCCAGCTTCAACATCAATATTAACCAAAATACAACTTTATTTTCAGGTACCGATGTTTCAGGACAGTAACTATCCGGAACTAAAACTGATATAGAGTTCCACGAAATAATTTACATCCACACACACACACAAAATGTTAGTTTGGTCCATGTGAGTGTGCCTTCTTTTGTAAGCATCCTCAATTGACACGCTTGGAGCTTTCTACCTGAAGTTATCTAGTTTCACGAGATGTGGGGCTTCTATAGTTGCCCCCTAATTAATAATTCAGATTTCCTCTGCCCCACTTTCTTATTTTGATTAGTTTCAGAAATAAGCCACATGATTCATAACTTGTAAAATATTTTCCCTAATTCTAAAAGCAGGAGCTAGTTTAATATAGTTTTCTTTGATATTAAATATAACATCTCAATCCATTTTGTCTTCCAAATTTCTAATTTTTTTTCCAAACTATCCTTATCGATTGCACATTTATTTAAAAAGAGTTTTATTAATTGAGTAATTTCCCATGAAAATGATTAAAGGGTGTATTTTTTGAAAACTAACACACATTTTTTATAAATAAATAATTTAACTAATTTTCTTAATATCTATAAATTAATTATTTAACCCTTTAGAATTGGAGGAAGTAATAGTTTAACATTGTTTCCTTTTGGCGGTGGAGGGACTGGGGATTGGCCAGGGGACATAGCCCCAAGTTTTTGTTTTGTACTATAAATTATATATATATATATATATATATACACATCTTTAGACTCTAAACACTCAGAATTTATATAAATATAAATGTAATTTATATAATTAGTTTTTCAACCCTCATTCCTGAGATCTAAATCCTAGTTATACCCCTGTTTCCTTGGGATGCTTTTCTTACATTTCCAAACCATATTTGAGGTTCTCTTCTAGGAAAATAATAAACAGGTTTAGTTAAGGAGAAAGGAAATATAAAACCCAACAATTGGTTCAAAAAACAAGGAAGTTATACCAATTTAACTAAAGGTCTTAAGTTTAAGTTTGTGTAATACATCAGCATTGTTGACAGAACTTCCACCCAAAAGATCCTCACTCACCTCGATATAGATTAGTTTAGGCTCTCGTTAAAGTCCCTTCAACTTAAAATGAGGCAAGCTCAAGATATTAGATGCTCAATATAAAAAAAAGGAAAGAATAAAAGAAAATCTCTTTCCTTATCAACTTAAATTTCATTCCTCTAAAAAGTATCCGGAAATAACATCCTAAGTGCATTAAGATGGTTTGATTTGAAGTCAAAAACCTGGCCGACACCTTCAAGTGTAATAATAAAACAGTACAGGATGACTTTGGGTTTGGATGAATTATTATAACCCACTTAACGGGCGAAGGTATTGGCACCAGAAGAACAGCAAAATCTGAAAAACAAATATAAATAAGGATGCCCTGCAAGAGAATTATGGGTATCAATAAAAGATCCAAAGGGAAGGAATATTAATGGAAAATTAAGATAAAACATCGATCTTGACCAGAAAAATTCAAAAGTATTATGCCGCAGTTGACAGTACCTCTCAATAGAGATTCTGTAAGCAATGATTATCATCAACAACTAAATCATACGTGGGCCGCACAACCAAAGTAAGGTCGATGAGAATAGGAAGAATTAAATGTCGGCCGATTCAAACCTGGTCAAAAATTAGAGAGAGAAAGAGAGAGAGAGAGAGAGAGAGTTTATGGAGTGAGTAAACTTCATAATACTTATGGTTCATAAACAAGCATCCTATGTTCAGTCTAATTAATAAAGATCAAAGAGAAAACGAGTTAAAAATGGGTTTCTCACTTTCTTGTTAGTTGCACATGTGTTACAACCTCTACCATAAAACCTTAATGGTCCACGTGTCACCCATATATTGAATCCCTACCTACTCTAAAATGGCGTCTGCTCCATTTTCGGATTTGAAATCAAAATACTAATAACATATCACCATGAAATCAGTACTTGCAAAACAAAGTCTATATATACTGATGCTGTAACTGCAATTGTTACCATCACAATATGTACAACCAGAAACACCATTTATATGTATCTTCTTCTTCTTCATGCCCTTCTCATACACACAAATGCTCTGCAACTGCACTTCAAAAAGCCTCCTTCTTTAATTCTACGGCTCCATCATTTTCCCACATTCTTTTCATTCTCAACCCTTTATTTTGCACTAGCTGCATGTGCTTCCTGCTTATTCCCTACCAATACATTCCCACTATATAAAAGCAAATAAGCCTAACCCATTATATTAACTGCTTCTTCTACAGTCTTGAGGGATGCAAACTCAGAATATGTCATTTTCCTGTGCAAAGAACTTCTTTCAGAGGTTCTGGTTAGATGAAATCAATATGGGAAGTTTTTCTCATAGCAACTTCCTGTCTAGTGATCTTCTGCCATCTCTTGGAGCTCAAATGGTGCAGGAAATCAGACTCCGAAGATACATAATCTCCCCTTTCGATCCGAGATATAGGTGATAAACTCTTTAGAGCCTAGACAGAGACAGTGTGTGTGCACGAGCACATGCATGTGCATGATAATCATAATTCTTATGATACTTTGATTGCTGCTTCTCATGCACATTATTTACAGGGCTTGGGAGATGATACTGGTAGTTCTAGTCATTTACTCAGCCTGGATATGCCCCTTTGAGTTTGCCTTCCTGCCTTCAAAGCAAGATGCACTGTTCATTATTGACAACGTTGTTGATGGTTTCTTTGCCATCGACATCATGCTCACATTCTTTGTTGCATATTTAGATAGTCAGTCTCACCTTCTTGTTGATGATCACTGGAAAATTGCAATCAGGTAAATACACGGTTCATTTGGACCCTTCTATAAAAAGTAGAAAATAAGAACAAGAAAAAATGGTAATAAGATTCCTCTTCAAGCTTCTTGTTGATGCTTGTTATCTCATAAAAAGAGAAATCCAATCATATCAATAATAGGTGTGATGGGGGTACTATGGTTAAAATGAACCATAGTGCATCTTTTGGTTTAGAGAGAGTTCCAAGTAAATTATTATAATAGAGAAGACCGTATAATTAAATTATTTTTTGAAATACGCGTATTACTTGAACCTGTTACAGGAACGTGAACTTCAAAAACACTTAATATAGCTTCAAACTCACAGGTACATATCTACCTGGTTTATTTTTGATGTCTGCTCAACAGCACCATTTCAGATCATCAGCCTTTTCTTCACAAACCATAGCAGTGAGCTTGGCGTTGACCTGCTTAACATGCTTCGGTTATGGCGTCTGAGACGAGTTAGCTCTCTGTTTGCAAGGTTCATCATCATACCAAACTTATGCTTCTGGTGATTTAGTCTTCTGCAACACCTCAAAATTCCAATCATAAGAATATCACAGTTCTTACTTGCTCCTTTACTTTCTTACAGAATTGAGAAAGACATCCGCTTTAACTATTTCTGGACCAGGTGCATAAAACTCATTGCTGTAAGCCACTAAAGCTCATATCTTTCCTTTCCAAATTCAATTGATTGAGATAAACGTGTTTCCTTGTACATTGCACAGACTTTGAAGAATAAGTCACACTATTCATAAAATTCTATTTACAGCTTGGGAATAGAGCGACTTGATATAAACTTTATTATATTTATTGGTTGACTTATCGATTACCGCCTCCATCAAATTTCAGGTAACAATGTTTGCCATACACTGTGCTGGATGCTCTTGCTATCTAATTGCAGAGAAGTATCCTGATTCCAAAAGGACCTGGATTGGTGCAACGCACCCAAATTTCAAAGAAGAAAGTCTTTGGGACAGATATGTGACTGCAATATACTGGTCCATTGTAACACTTACCACTACTGGCTATGGGGATTTACATGCTCAAAACCCTGGGGAGATGCTGTTTGATACTGTGTTCATGCTTTTCAATTTGGGATTAACATCATACATCATTGGAAACATGACAAACCTTGTGGTTCACTGGACCAGCCACACCAAAACTTTTGTTAGTGCTCTCACCTTATGCCTCTTCTACTGGTCAATTTATCACTCATCTGCAACAACTGAGAGTTTTAGATTTTTCAAGTATCAGTTCTCTTAACAATCACTTTATGCTAGATATTACTCGACATTTTATTTAATCCTTCAAACATAGAAAAGTCCTCCTAACAGCTACTTGATATCTTTTTCTTTTTGCCCTTAACCTTGGCAACATCAGAGCTTAAAAGTAGTATTCATTTCAAATAAGAGGGACTTTCTTCTAACAAATTACAATGCTCTCTTTGGGTGCCACAGAGAGATACGATTAGAGCAGCATCAGAGTTTGCATCAAGGAATCATCTGCCGCATCACCTACAAGATCAAATGTTGTCACATTTATGTCTGAGGTTTAAAACAGAAGGATTGAAGCAACAAGAAACATTAAATGGTCTGCCCAGGGCAATTCGTTCAAGCATTGCAAATCATCTCTTCTTTCCTGTTCTGAAGGAGGTCTACCTATTCCATGGAGTTTCATATGACTTCCTCTTCCAACTGGTAAGATCTGTATTTCCTATCATCCTTCTTTTATATCCTCATCCTCTTTCCTTTTCCACCTTCTTTCGTCTTCTGCTTAGGGGAAAATGTAGATTCACTAGTTACTTCAATCAATCAATCAATATTGCCGAGTCTGACAAAGTAACTATAATAACAGGCCTCAGAAATGGAAGCTGAGTATTTTCCACCCAAGGAAGATGTGATACTGCAAAATGAGGTTCCTACAGATCTTTACGTGTTAGTTTCAGGTGCAGCGGTGAGTTAACTAAACACAGATAGTCAATTAACTATGAATGAGTTCTTAAAAGAGGCTGGTGCAATATCTTGTGATCCCATATTTAGCAAAACAGTTGAAAGCTATTAGTTTAGACAATCAGTATTTTATAAATGTTGAAGATGATCATGTAGCAAAGGTCTTTTTAAAGAATACCTACTAATAAAAGTTACTATTCAAATGACCAATTGTTGCAGGATCTTGTTCGCCACATGGATGGGCATGATCAAGTATGTTACATTAATCAAACATTTTATTTTCATTAGAGTACTAGATGGCACAACTTTATCTGACTCACTGTTCACATGAACAATTCAGGTTGTTGGGAAGGCAGTTTTAGGAGAAACATTTGGAGAGATTGGGATATTAACCTACAGGCCACAACCATTCTCTATTCGGACTGCAGAGCTTTCTCAAGTTTTACGACTCAAAAAAACTTCGTTAATGAAGGCTGTTCAAGCTTATCCAGAAGATTCAAAAATCATAATGGATAACCTTGTCATGGTAAATAGGAAATAAGACAGCCTCATAGAGAGATTACTTATATAAAGAGATTATTTATATATAAGAGATGCATTATTCTAAAAATCTGCAAAAGCAATAACAAAAATAACAGCAATAGTAATATCTACAAAATTGTCTTAACTGCTTGTTATTCATACTGACAGAGATTAAAGGGACAAGAAGGCTTGGGTTTTGAGTATCCAAATGCAGAGCCTGGATTGGTCCTTCATGAAAAAGTAGATGGAGTAAAAGCAAGAGAAAGCGTCTCTCATGCACGCACAAACAGTTCATACCAGGATTCATTAGTCCAAGAACGAAGGTATAGAAACTTCACAGACTCAGAGCTTACATTGCATGAGGTGACAAGCGAATATGGAGAAAGGAATATTCATGCTGCTACAGTCAAAGGGCATCCAGAGATGGTTGACGTAGTGCTCGAAAGAGATGCAAACGCCAAGCCCCTGAATTTCGCAAGTCGGAAATCAAAAACTCAGGTAGAACAGCAAAATCAAAAGAGCACTTCTAACCTCTTCATGAATTGTGGAGATAGGGAGAGATCCGATGAATATAGAATAATAGACTTTGAGGAGCCGGATATGTTAAGCCATGTTAGGAACGACACAGCCAGAAACAGAAAACATGATGATCCCAGATCATTTAACTGCCCATTAGAGAGTGCATACAAAACTTCTTATTCGAGTAATCTTAATTGTCCAAGCGATAGAGAAGTAGCTAGATTCAACAAGAAGAGAGTCACAATTCACTTAATAGGCCAGTGCAGCGGCACTTCACGCGGACAGCATGGGAAGTTGATTATTCTGCCTGATTCAATAGAAGAGCTGCTCAAGATTGCTGGTAAGCTTTGATCTTAAAAGAAATACTATTTTAAACCTATAATTGAGAGAAATAATAATTAGTTTGCTGATAAATATAGGTGCATACAAAGAAAAAGGCCAGCTTTTTCTCACTATTCCCCGTATTTTTTTAAACAGAAAGGGAAATCAAACTTCCGAACATATGGACACAAAACTGAAATATCTTGGGCTAACAAGAAAAAAAAAAAGTTCCTACTTTGCCTAATTTCCCACTCTAACTATTATAATCTTGTGACTGCAGAAGAAAAGTTTGCAGGATCAAAACCTACAAGAGTTATTAATACAGAGAAAGCAGAGATAGATGACATAAGAGTCATTCGAGATGGCGATCACCTCCTTTTCCTTTGCAGCAATAGTGAAAATTTGCAGTCACTATGTTAACTATCGAAGGTCAAAACGTAAATTGAAGATGGCATGTAATTTACAGTAAGGCAACGATATAATCAAATATTGACAACAATATTGTCCAGCCAGGAAATCATTGGAAAATCAGACGATATACAAAAGCTTCTCTTTGTTAGTAATCATTGAAACAAAATTTTACAATCTCATCAATACAAGTGGGGGAAAAATAAAGTCCAATAACCAAAAGTGTCGGGAGCTGTAATGCAGCTGCAAGATTCAAACAATATTTGCCACATTTTGTGTTCCTTGATAATCCCAGCGAATCAGTGCTTTTACAACAATAAATGCTCTTGCTCCGTGCAAGGGATTCATAATTATCTTCAAAGAAGCTTCTCATTATGTGCCACTTCATTCTTGGTGGCTAAAAGTTTTCCGTCGATTGAATGTCTTTGCGGCCAGAAGAAAAACGTATCATTTCTTCAAATTGATTGGTATAGGATGTGCTTCTGTGTTAAAAACAAATTTATCCAATGGAACAACAGAGCTATCTCCAAACAGCAAGTACAAATACTTCAGCGTTTCTCCCAGAAAGAAAGTTTCCATTTTGTCTCTTCTGCTAGGAGGGACAGTAGTTACATCGTCCAGAGAAGTGTATCCACCAGTCTCAACCCTTGTGTATTTCTCAAAAGCTTCAAATATCTGCCAACCCCATTCGCGGTATCTGAAACACAGTAAAATTGGGTCATTGAGGAAACATCAAGAAAGAAATACTAAACTTGTGTTCTGGGTTTCTTGGGTAAAGTCCCAGGAAATTCAGTTATCAATTAAACCAATACACAAGAGGGGGCAGAAGCATACTTTGAATCTCCTGTAATACGGTATAAAACAAATAATGATTCTACAGTCTCAGGTCGCAAGAGATTATGTCGATCAGCTGGTTTGATTATAATATCGTTCACATATCCTGAGCTCTTATTCCCTCCATCAAGACCATCTTCAGAAAATTCCTGCATACCAGTCAAATCATCACTTAGCAACAAATAATATGTATTGTAAACAATATTACAGACCACCATCAAGCAGATAAAAAATGTATAAGCTGCTCTGCTAGAATTGCTTTCATTTTTGTAATCGATAAATCCAAAATATGTAGTAAAAGGCTTGCTAACCTCGGTATGAAAGTAAGCAATTTCTGGAGCCAAACCAGTAGAAGTCACTGAGTACATTTCAAAGCATGTTTTAGCCAGGTCTTCAGCAAGCTTCAAATTTTCCATGTCTTCGAAGTTCAGCATATTGTTTAGCATTGCCTTTTCCTTTGTAAGGCCTTTAGTGGCACCAAGTGCCAGAGTACCCGATAAGAAACACACCTGCACGGGCAGCAATTATCTTTGCATCAATGTTAGGTGGTAAATGTCAACAGAAACATCACCCTGTTAATTGTTTGTTTATAGGGTAAAATTAAATTTTAGAAAAATAGATAAGAAATTCATAATTGACATCTAAATATTTAATAGTTCTTTTTTCAAAAAAAAAAAAATCTCAACTGAGGGCATGAGAGAGAAATAAAAGTCACTATTGTGAAGGGAGTAAAAAAAATCTGTTTCCCGATAATAACTTTCAGTGACAAACTAATCTATTGTTCAGAACTGTCAGTAAGACATAATACAGTACAGATGGCAACATGAGTTATAATTTTAAGAAGCCCTTTCGTACTCTTTGTACTAGAATTAAAAAAAAAAAAATTGTCCAGCAACTAAGGCACTAAATGAAGTTCAAGCAATGTCAAACTTGAAAAGCAGGAGTCAGTGCATACCAGGTGATCCATTTTTGGACTGAAACCACCATTTAATCCATAAGGCAATTCTCCAACAAAAACTAATCCATTTGGAACTGATTTTCGAACAAGAAGATGCTTGACACCCTTCATTGCTTCTGTATACATTTCATATAGGTACGATGTATTACCCTCATAACTAGCTCCAGACTGAAGCCACACTTTGATTAAGTATTCATAATAACTATCACCACGAGATCCCAGTCTGATGTTTTCTCCACTAAATTGGCCAGAATGGGGGCTGCATTAAGTTCATAGACAACATCAAATGTTTAGAAGAAAATCATTAAAAAAAAAAGGAGAAAAAGTCTACAATGGCTTGAGCATGTCTGAAATAAAGGGTAAAAATGAGAAATTGAACACAAAATAGTTGAGAACTTCAAACAAAAGTTGTGGTTGAACAAAGTGAGGCATGTACATTATATAAATCTAATACATTTCCATACCTAATGTAGATAGGAACCAATCCTTCAACCTTAGGGAGAGTCTTCATGTGATCCAAGGTTTTCATAGCCTCCACACTATATTTCTGATCACCGGATACGGAACTGAGATAATTGAATTCAAGTTGTAAAGTGGAAACTTCAGAAGTACTGCTCAGTCCGCCAGGAGCTGGATGGGCTGAGGAGTCACGCAGAATAACATCAGACAATGGAATAGAAGTTGGACTGGATGTAAAAGCAGAAAGCAGACGATCAGCCAAATTCTTGGCAGTTTCTAGGTAAACAGCTGGTTCAGGTCCTGCATGTGTTAAGTTCATTCCTTTCTCTCCACCCCTTAGATGATATGCACTTAAAAGGCCACCCAAAACACGTATTGTAGTTTCAAACAAATTTACTTGGCCCTTTTCACTAATTCTTTTAGAAAGGTGTGCTTCAACCCAGGATCCTGCTTCGGCAATAACTTCATCAATACCCATTATCATGGCTGTATCAAGAGCATCAACCACTGTAGCACTTAATCCTCCTAATCCATCAACTCCATGCTGGCTGAGTGGCATGAGTTCATCAAAACCCATGGCATATTTTTTATAGCCAGACCATGCATGAATAAAAGCATCCTTGACTTTTTGTTGCCTAGTAGTCCACATTGAACCAGCATCTTGTTTTACATGACCAATATTATTACTGCTACCTTTAGAATCAGGCGGTAATCTAGGAGGAAGCCTTGGAGGCCGCCTCAAGAGGCTTTTTAGCGTGATTCCACCCTTGGTGATGAGGTTACCTTCACTTTTTCTGTCGCCAATTGCTTGATTATCAGAAACTACAGGACCAGGGCTAGTGTGAGTCAGCATAACATATGCTAAACCAAAGACCAGTAGTAAAAGTAGGAACTTTCCTGTGCTACAGCTAGTACAACCACGCTTTAAATTGCTAGTGGCCAAGCTCTGAGTAAAGGCCTGGAAAACAGAGACAGTAAATCCCTTGTCCTTTAAAGATTATGGCACAGAAAGACACTAATTTAAAAGTAGTAATATGATATTCACTGAACAAATGAGAATTCAATGTCATACATAAAAAGAGTGCAAAAATAAATGGGCACGGAAAAAAAAAAGATGAAAAATTAATACCATTTTTGTTATTATTTTGGAGAAGTTTAAACAGGAACTTTACATGTAATACATCTATTTCTACCATGCATTATTAATCTTTTTTTTTTTTTACATATGCATGATCAATTATTCTAGAAGTTATAATTTTACACACACACACACACACACCCATTTGCTGATAAGGAGTGGAAGAAGAACATGGTAGAAGTTAAAATTGGAGACAGAATTATTTCCTTAAAAATGATTGTTAGAACGTGAGACGGTTAATATTATTGGTGTTTATGCACCTCAAGCTGGGGCAGATGTCGGTATTAAGGAATTATTTTGGGAAGACTTAGAGGGGGTTGATTCAACACATATCACAGAATGAAAAAGATCTTTATTGAAGGAGACTTTAATATTCATGTCGAAAGGAAGGCAAGCCGTTATGCAAGGGTGCATGGTGGTTTTGGTTTTGAAGAGCTAAACAATGAAGGACAATCTATTTTTTATTTCTCTTTAGCTTATAATTTCAAGATCACCAACACTTGTTTCAAGAAGAAGGATGAGCATCTCACCACTCACAAAAGTGAAGTCTCAAGGTCATAGATTGATTTCTTTTTAATAAGGAATATGATAGAAGACTCTGTAAAAATTGTAAGATGATTTTTAGGGATGCTGTCATGACACAACACAGGGTCTTGTCTTTGATGTGTGTATTATGAATAAAAATCAAAAGCATCTAAAAGTGGTAAGTCTAAGGATTAGGCAGTGGCATTTAAAAGGTAAGAAGCGAGAAATTTTTAAGCAAAATCTTTTGGCTGAAGGAATCTAGTAGTCTTAGGGAAGTACAAGTATCTTGTAGGAGGATATGGGTAAGAAGGTAAGAAAGGTTGCAAAAGAAGTTTTGGGAGAATCAAAAGGTTTTGGTCCGAGAGATAAGAAGTCTTGACAGTGAAACGATAGTGTACAAGAAAAAAATCAAATATAAGGAGTGTTTTAAAGCCATCCATTTGTGTAACAATGATGAAAATTAGAAAGGTATTGTATAGCTAAAAAGGAAACTAAAATGCAGTGAGCAAGCTCGTTCAAAAGCATTTGAAGAGTTTTATAATGGTTTTAGGACAAAGGATGGAGAATGAAAAATTTATAAAATTGCTAAGAGTAAGGAAAGAAAATCAAGAGATCTGAAATAGGTAAAATGCATAAAGGATGAAAGGGAAAGAATTTTGGTCATAGATGGTGATATTAAAGATAGATAGGATACCTACTTTTTAAATTTTTCAATGATGGAGGGGGTTCGTCTAGTAATTTGAAAGATTTAGTAGCCCGTGAAAGAGAACAAATTTTGTCATTCTATCGAAGGATACGCAATAGTGAGGTAAAGGAAGCTATTAAAAAGATGGCAAATAGTAGAGCTAATGGATCTAATTGTATCCCTATTGAAGTGTAAAAATGTTTAGGTGAAGAAAGGGTGCGGTGGCTAACTAAATTATTTAATGAATTTTACGGTTCAAGAAAATGATTAGAAATTGGAGGAAAAGTATCTTAGTTCCTATTTACAAAAATAAAGATGGATATTAAAATTGTACTAATTACATAAGGATTAAACTTATAAGTCATATAATGAAAGTGTGGAAAAAAGTGACTAAACATAGATTGAGATTGGATACTGGTATTTTTGAGAATCAGTTTGGCTTTATGCCAGGTAAGGAGAATATAGAAGCGATTTATCTACTAAGGAAGTTAACGGAAAAGTATCAATGCAAAGGTAAAGAT